CTAAGATCTCGTTAAGCACATACTCTGGCTCACAGTACGAGCATCTGACAATTAAGAGTCTCACTGCCGCAACCTCACTGCCGCAACCGAAATGGCGCAACCAACGTACCGCGACCCAACGACAGTCCTCAGGGACCAAGCCGACTGGACTGGCTGGCTCGCGCAGCTACAGGCGAGATGCCTGTCGCGCAACATCTGGGACAAGATCAACCCAAAGACAACTACACCACTACTATCAAAGCCACTCTCGCCGAGGGCTCCAACCATTACCAACTACGCGCCAGCCGCGAACACCGACATACTATTAAGGCCAACTGAGCTATCAACAACAGGCTAGAAGGCATTTAAGGAAGACCTTGAGTATTACAAAGTACTCCTCGAACAATACAAGAACGATCGACACGAATATGAGAAGGAGGAAGCAAGCCTTCAGCACATTATTGTGTTCATCCAGTCAACTGTGTCGCCACATCTACTGCGCACATGCTGTCTTCCTGAGAAACCACTGCGACAGTGGATCACAGACCTACAACTCACTGTTGGGGTCGACGAACGAATTGAACAAGAACGAGCCTGAGACAGATACCTCTCAGCACTCAAGCCAATGAGAAGCACGTCACAATGGGATACCTGGCTAGCTGAGTATGACCAGGCAGCTACAGAAGCGGAGACGTACAAAGTCGCCGAATTATCGCAATTAAATGTGATAACAAAGGACTTCCTGACAGCTGTGAACAGGGTCGCGCCTATGTGGGCTACAAGCTTTCAAGATAGCGGACGCTTTGAATCCAGTATGAGTCGGAAGGAGATGATGAAACGCTACCGAGAGCACATGATGATAAATCATCCCCTTAGATTAGGGCGGCACAAGGCCTTTGTGGCTGACGATGCAGTGTTTCTTGCTGAAGGGGGTGCAGCCTCCCAGAGCCATGAAGGGGACGCCCAACATGCTGTAAGCGCGCCATCCAACCGGGGCAGACCTCGATATCAACGTACAGCGGGTAGGAAAACCACCACGCTCAAGCGGCCTTCAGATCAAGAGCCTGCTTCCACTGGGGGAGCAAAATGCCCTGCATGTGGACAACGCCACTCCATACGGGATTGCTACTATGTTAATCAAGACAGAGCTCCTGAGTGGTGGAAACCAAATGAGATTATTTCTGAACTTATTAAGTTTAAGTGTGAGAAAGATGTCACCTTTCAAGGGCTACTTCGCGCACAAAGCAAGAGCCGATCAAGAACACCAGTGGTGAAGCACTCGCACACCCCTACCCCAGAAATCCTAGACAATTGACTAGAAGGCCGAGAAATTGCTGACGTCAAAGCAGCGCTCAGCGCAGCGAACCAACAGGACGCTGCTGACTATCCACTGCGGAAGTCGTTCATACTTGACTCAGGTTCTACCTGTCATATCACCAACGACCCCGACCGCGTCTACGGGTTCCGACAGCCATCGCCCGGAGACTTCATATGGGCTGGGAATTCCAAGGTGCTGGTTAGAGGATATGGATCAATTGATCTACTCCTGAGGAGTGGAGCCAGGACAACCAAGGTCACCCTCACGGACGTGGCAATTTGCCCAGACCTGCTATGCAACCTAGTGTCCTTCCGCCTACTACGAAACAGAGGCATGTGGTGGGACACACAAGCAGACCCAACAACTCTCCGACAAGCAAATGGCCAAGTAATTGGAGTAGTATTAGAAATGCTTGGCCAGTGGGTGCTTGAGTACGAACCGTCCCCACTAGCCGCCAACCACACACACAAAATCACCACACGCACTAAGAGAGGACCACAGAAGGCCTCAGCAATACGGTGGCACAAGCGACTTGGTCACCCTGGTCCTGCTGCAATCGAACACATCGTCCAGCAGACTCAGGGGGTGCGGATCCAAGGCATCACTACAGTCAAATGCAACGCTTGTGGAATAGCCAAATCGCGACGGCAAATCAGCCGCGCACCAAGAATCAACAATGACGGACCTGGAGAAAGACTCAGCGTTGACTTCCACTCCTACAAAGTACAAGGAGTCACTAAAGAAAAGAGCCAGATGCTCATCACCAACAGGTTCTCAGGCCTACAGTGGGACCTCTACTTCACAGATTATCGCACAGCGAAGTCAATTATCAAGGCACTGTCAACGTTTATCCTGTTCTTGAAAAATCACTACAACATCTCAGTCAAGACTATTGAGGCAGACAACGAGATAGCCACAGTCAAACCAGGCGTATTGAAATGGCTGGCAACACAAGGAATTATTGTGGAGCCTTCAGCGCCAGACACACAAGCACAGAACGGTAACGCAGAACGCTCAGGGGGTGTGAACAAGGAGAAAGCTCGCGCAATGCGACTTGATGCCAACCTCTCCTGGGAACTGTGGCCAGAAATCACGAGGGCAGCAGTATACCTCTACAATCGAACGCCGAACTACGCAAACCATTGGAAAACACCATACGAAATATTCTTTACGCGAGTTGCCTTTAGCAACGGAATAGTGACATCACTGCGAAAACCTAACCTCGCGCACCTAAGAGCATACGGGTGCAAAGCGTTCGCCATGACAGACGACACACACAGAGGCAAATCACGTCTTCAACGACTAGACCCAAAGGCCTGGATTGGCTATCTAGTGGGCTACTAGTCGTCAAACATCTATCGAATCTGGATACCGTCACTCAGCAAGGTGATAAGCACTCGAGATGTCGTGTTTGACAAAGACACAGTATTCAACAGGAGAATTGAGGACCTCATGGAGAACCTCATGCACAACACACTTGAAGAAATAGCAACACATGTGCGATCTATTGAGCTACCAACGCCTACCCAGCAACCAGAAACAGATTCCTTTTATGAGGATGAAGCCCTAGCAGAGCCGTCACCACAAGACGAAGCAGACCCGCCAGGCTACTATCACGGACGGAAGATACAGGATAGCTATCCTACCCCTCCATCAACACCGCCACCTGCAGCACTACTTGCAGGCATTATGGCCAGTGATCAAACAACTCTGACGCAACAAGCGTCCTCAACTACTGTCCCGTGGGCAGCATCATTCCTTGCGGGAACCCAAGCTGGACGTGTTGGAACATACAGAGGAGAAGTCATAGACAAGGCTAAGATGATAAGAATGCTCGCCAAAGGCTTGAAGCCCCATCAAAGTCAACTTCCACCTCTGCCCACGTTCCAAACCAAGCTTGAGGATCACCCTATGGGTAAACTCTTTCAAGAAGCCGAGTGAGAGCACCTCGCAAGCTACCAAGAAATGAAATCATGGTTAGAAGTACCACTTCAGAAAATTAGACTGACAGGACAACAGATCCTTGACTGCATGTGGGTATATACCTATAAGCTTGATAGACATCATTGACTGCTGAAGTGCAAGGCGCGACTGGTAGTCAGAGGCGATCAACAACGCAATATTACATCACAAGACACCTACGCAGCCACGCTTGCCAGCTGATCCTTTCGAACGATGATGGCTATGGCAGCTCACTATAACATGGAGCTCAAACAATACGACGTTACCAACGCGTTTGTTCATGCTACAATGGACAGAGAGGTCTACATGAGAATGCCACGAGGCTATCAGAAGCCCGGCACGATACTGCAAGTAAACAAGGCACTTTACGGGCTGCGCATCTCTCCCCTCCTCTGGCAGAAGAACTTCACTGCAACACTAAAAGCACTAGGTTTCCAGACTGTGCCTCACAAACCCTGCTGTCTAACTAAGGGCAGCATTATTATCTTCTTTTATGTTGACGATATCATCCTCGCGTACAATAAATCAAAAGAGCAAGAGGCAATGCAGACAATCAGCCACGTACAGAGCAAGTACACCTGCACAGGAGGGCACGACCTACAGTGGTTCCTTGGCATGGAGATCATACGAGACCGAGCAAGCAAGAAAATCTACCTATCTCAGGCAGCGTACTCAGACAAAATCAGTCGCCTTGCCGAGAACACAACTATACGACATGACACTCCAATGGCAACAACTGAACTACAGCCAAGGAGTGGACTAGCAGCGCCAGCAGAAATCAACAAGTATCAACGCAAAATTGGATCACTGCTGTTCGCTGCGGTCACCACGCGACCTGACATTGCGTTCGCCACATCAAGGCTTGCCAGGTTCCTCACCAATCCAGGCATCAGCCACCAAGATGCTGCGGACCGGGTCCTTCTATATCTACTCAACACTAAACAGCGATCACTGCAGCTTGGAGGAGGCA